TCATTCCCGCCCACATTTATAATACAGTAATCACCGCCTCGAGTCACAGCCATAATTATGTGGCAGCAACGAATTCAACAACTACCTGGATCCGAGCCCTGCGGCGGAAGTGAGTGAACCAGCGGCCGGAAACGGAAATGCGCAAAAGCCAGGCCAGCAATGAAAACGGCTCCCCGAGCGGCTTTTATCACAGGAAGCTGAGAGACTCAGACAAAGAGTTAACTTCGAACGTGGCTAAGAAGTTGACAGAATTCCAGAACTGAATTGACTTTGACGGTTTTTTGACGTTTTTTTAAAATGTAAAAGAAATAAAAAGATTACTCCCTCCATGTTTTTGATGCGGGCGTGGCGCTTACACGAAAGTGAAAATGCCAATGAAAAAACATTCGCATGCAAATGCAAAACATAGTCAAAGGCAACTTCCGTTCCCATTTTCCAGTCCTCCGCCCAAGCTTTCCCGACCCACCATCACGTACGAAGGAAAAGTGGAAATGGGGCGGAGAAATGGAGGCGTGCTCGCCTTCGCTTTTAATTTTAATGCGTGCAACACGCTCGCGCTTTCCAAAAATTAAACGTCGGTTTACTTGCCTCGCCCCTGCCTTGGGAAAACTTTCGCCATCCAGAGTATTCACAGTCTTTCTTTTTTGGGTTTCTTTCGCTGTTTTCTTGGTCCAAACAAATAGGCGTCGATTAGGCAAATCAACGCATTTGTATGCAGATTATGTGCTGCTGCGAGGGAAAACAGCGAGCAGCGGGCTGGGATAGGGGTGCCGAAGGAGAGTGGTAGACGGCCGCTTGTTGTCTCTAATTGCGCCTCAGTCCTTTAGGCGCTCAACTAGGCGTATGCGTGATAAAAACTGCGAGCAAAACATTTCAGACAACTCTTATGGGCAGATAAAAGGGGAACTCGATGCCGAAGAAAGTGGAATGGATTAGAAGGAAAACATTGTCTTTTCTTTTAAATAATAAAATAATTTTTAATTGCTTGATTTTTGCATAAGGAAGCTCCTACCAAAAGTTGAAAGGGGAAAACCACCATTTTTACAAAAATAAGATAGCAGACTTTCATTATCACCCTCTCCTGAACACGCTTTCGAGAATGTGCCATTGCCATATGAGTTTTAGATACCATTCTCGAAAATCTAAGATCCGACTTGTACGCAAATGAAAATAAGAACCAAGTTTGTTGCAATAACCGCGAAAATGGCTCGCACTTAAAGCGATCAACTGACACATTCACCGCAGCTTCCCGACATCAAAAGCGAAAGATTGCCAGTCCTCCCATATCCATTCGTGTCCCTATCTAGGAGACATTGTCATGTATCATTACCATTTCAATTCACTTGACTTGCCTCCCCCAACTTATTCCACTTTACGGCATCTGTAATTTTGTGATGCCGCCTCGTGTCGCGCTTTAAACAACAAGGATCTGGTGCTAATTTCGAGCGTTTCAAAATACCACACGCCTAAAATCATCCAACCCCCTGGAAGCCCCCTTAAAACACCCCTATCCAACCCTCTGTAACAACAATCAATACTGGCAACGTTTTTTGGTGTCCCTTGCCGCGTGTTGAATTTCAATGCATACTTTTAGGCCGTACATCAAAAAAATATTTGTTTGCCATTTCACATATCATACAAGGACGAGAGCGCGGGGCAGTATGTGTGTGTGCACTAAAAACAATATTTTACATTAAATGATTTCTTATACTTATGTTTTATTTTTCCTTCTTGAGCCTCATGTACTCATTTCTGTGAAATATTTTGTTTGGCCACTTATCTTTCTGATGAAAACCAATCCTACTCATTATTTCTCCAAGTGCAGAAGTGTTAGAAGGTTTGCTGTTGCTACTCTCGGAATTCTAGGACTGCAGGAATCACATGCGTTTGGCATTTGACGCCGCCGAAGGAAAAAACGCTGACGATGACGAGTTTTATGCTTTTTTCCCTTTCACAACGGCGATTTCTTCGCCTTCTCGACTGAGTGCTGCTGGTGTTTTGTTTTATACCACTTGCAAGTGGATTTATTTTGCAATGCCCCAGCGGAATTTTAATGGATCCCCCTCTCGCGATTTTTCCCTGCCCCTAGCCCCTTCCTATTTCTTTATTTTTTTGTTTTTTTTTTTGCTGCGAACGTGTCTTGTCCTCTTGTAGGGAGAAAATGGCCCAAAGACTTTGGCGCCTGCTTAAAATTTCACTCATGTGGCGATGCTGGCGCATTCCTTCATAGTCCCTATGCCTCTACCCCGGACTTTCCACCCCCTCTACCCTCTGGAAAACGCTGCGTTTGTTGGGGGTCACCATTTTACAGTTGGTCGTGTTTGTTTTTGTTAATTCGCTGACAAGCTCCTTGTTTTATGTACATTTCTCTTGGCCTGTTGGGCGAATAAAATTCGAAATTTAATTAGTCGTGTAGGTAAAAATGACATTTCAAATTATTTTGTCTCCGTTGGCAATAACAACAAGGGAGGCCCAAGAAGGAGCGCAAGGTTAAAGGTTAAAGAGGCCCAAGCTGAGCCAAAGTTTAATAATTTAATGCCATGGTAGAGCCAACCATTATGCTGAATAATTAGTTTATTATTTGTTCTAAATTAAATTGCTATCAATTTAAAAATGTTAACATAGAGAGATCCGAACGTGATACGTTTTGTAATTAAAAACAAGTTGAGTCTGGTCGCTTAATTTGTTATTAAGAACCCAAATAAATAGTGTTTTCTGTATGAACAGTCCCACTTTAAAGAGCATTTATGCATTGCAATTGAAATTCATGCGCTACTCATTTATAATTTTTATTTCTGCTGCATTATGCATGTTTGTCACATTTAATTATTCATACTCGTACATACCCATTTGCTGTGTGTGTGTGTATTAATGTATTTATAATATGGCTTACACGCTTGCCATAACCAACTATTTGGCTTCCTTAATCCGCAGTGCAAATTCTGGCCGGCAAAATAATTATTGAAGGCCAACAGAAATGTATTTGCTATGGTCCGCAGAGAAGGAGCTCGACTATTTATTTAACTTTCTCCTCTTCGGAGTAACTCTGCGGATGTGACCCCCAGTTGGTGACCTTAGCCACCCGCATTTCCATTTCCATTCCCACTCCCACTCCCACTCCCATCACACTCATCCACATGTAGTTAAGCTCACCTAAATACATTTTTGCTAGAATAAACAAGCAACCTTGGGTGTTTACCATAAAAAGTAGGTAAACTTGAGTGCAAAAATTGCGTAGCAAATGCGGATGTATGAGTTGAGTTCACCGCACACACACACACACACACAAAATGCACATAAAAATGTGAAAACGAACAACATTAACAAGCGGCAGGTTGCCTGGGTGGGTGTGGGTATGGGGAAGGACGAAGGGGTTGTGGGTGGGGATTAAACAAGTTCTGAGCTCTGACTGAATGGAAACGAAATAAAAATAACAAGCTACAAGCCAGCTAGCAATACCATGTGGAACACAAGAAACGGAGAAATGAACACAGACCCGAACCTCAAAAAAGGGAGAAGAAAGCATCAAGTGGGAGAAAGTTTCAGCCAGTGAAGAGTGAACGTACGAAATTCTCATTAATTTAACTTTAAGACAGAAACCTATATAAATTCTTCTCTCCTTTATTTATATTATCAAGTTTACAGTAAGATCATTTGTTCTTATTCTTTTCTATGTGATAGATCCTAGGGAATATCTATCCCACATTCTACACATGGAAACAAGCAGAGTTCCCAAATAAGTTATATGATATATCTGAAAAACTACAGAAAGAGGCTCAAGAAGTTACGGTCTTAATGGTAAGAGTTGTTGAAAAAGAGAAGAAAAGGGGTTCCAAACTCTGACGTCGAACACATTACAAGCAAAAGCACTTTTGACAAAGGAGGCGCCAGCGAAAATAAACAAACAAATGGCAAAAGAAACAAAGACGAGCAGACAGACATTCGGAGAGGGACGGCTAGAGGGGTGCGAACGGGAGGGCAGATAGGTCCGCTCATGTGCGTGTAAAGGATTCCAAGGACTACAACATTAAGGGGGGAGGGATGGCAGGAATTTGTGCATGAACAATGGGCGAGATAAAAAAACAGACAGAAAAATAAAACACAAAAATCAGCCGAGAAGAACCCCAAAAAACACACAACATCCACTCATTGAAGAGGCTGTCTTCAGAGGGGGAAGACGGGGGGAATCAACAACTGCGGCAAGGATATGAAGTACCCTACCCACACAGACGCAGACCGGATGTCATTAAGGTGCGCGTGTGTGTGTGCACTGGAAGAAACTATCACTCACTACCGTCAGTTAAGCTGTCTCTTAGAAATTTCATGAAATCGTGAGGTATATTCTATCGGGTATCGGGATATATATTCTTATACTTTTCTACAGATTTGATAGGTATATATCTACTTATTTATCATAATAAAAGTTTCTACAGAAGTATTTCCGTTCCCGAACACTCCGTCTGTCATTTCTCTCTGTGCACGAGGTATGGAAATGAACTGCAGTTGGAAAAGCGTGCAACTGAAAATGGCCAAGTGGAATGGCCAAGAGAAAAGTGCCAAACAGGAACGGCCAGGGAGGGGGAAGGAGGCTGAAGGGGAAGGTCGTGATGAGCAACGGCAAAGAAAGCAATTTGCAGGAGCAGCTGAAAAGCAGAAGGACACCCAAAGAAATGTTTAACAACAGTGCAGCTTTAATTCGACAACAACAATCAGGGGTCAATGGTGATGCCAAGGAAAATGAAAAGAAAACCGAAATTGTTGTAAAGGATATACGAATTAACGCACTCCCAGACAGAGAGAGTTCCGAAAAACAGGACAGAATATATGAAGCCAGGAGATGGAAATCAAGTCCAGGAAAGAATAAAGGAAATTATAAAGTAGAGTGTTCTTTATTAAAAAGCCTTTTCAAGATTTCTATAACACTATCCACCAACATGTTTGGTATTGAAAACAAAAGCCCTATTTAACACAAATTTTGTTTTTGTATTTCCAAACAGAGCTTATATAACCGACTTTGCCAAGGCAATAAGGGATCCCGTAAAGCGTAAAATCTATAAGGAAAGAACCAAAGATATATAAATTTCAATATTCATCTACTCTAAAACCCACGGAGGTCAGCGTCTCCAAAGATGGAGAGAAGAAGGGAATCTTAATTGTGAGAACTCGCTGGGCACGGGCCACCATCAGGAGAGTCATCTTCTGGACGCGGACACTGTGTCCATACCAGTGGCTGGCAAAAGTGGAGCGAGCTAGATCGGAACACTAGAGTGAACATTGAATATGGGAGGTGAACTACAATAATCGTTGAGATAAATACCGCTTCCATGATGTGAGAGCCACCCAGGCAGTAGAGAAAGATTTCTACGCCCACGGCGCAAGTATAGACCACATAAACAATGATTCCCAGGCCAGAAAACTAAGAGTGTAAAATATTACAAAAATATTAAAGTCACGATAGGTAATCCCAATGTACCAACCAATAACATATCCACCACACTGGTGCCGATAATCAAACTCGAGGTAACAAAGTGGGCCAGTGTTATTTCCACCATAACACCCGACAATCTCTCTGTTAGCTCGGCCACCTCGTTGTGCCGATCCACCAGTTTTTCCATTTCCCGAACCACCAGCGCTTCCTGTTCCGCGGTGGGAGTCTCTTCGATATTGGCAACCTCTAGTAAATCACCGACATCATCCCGCAGGCAGAGCAATAAGACAGTGAAGTACAAGCAGAAACCCAGGAAGAAGCCATCTGCCCCAACGAAACAAACCACTGTGATGTAGCCATGCCAATGCACCAATATGTAGGTGATGGGATACAAGGGCAGACTTAACAGAGGATCAGGAAATCTACAAGGATGGATTCTGTTATCCTTAGCATACATCATTCCAGAACTTACATCATTTTGAAAGGAGTCTCGTAGATCCAATCCTTCCCGTGGGCCCGTCTTAGGATATTATCCAGCAAATGCCTGACGGAGTACGAAGTACTGGTGGAGAATCCACAGCAAAGCAGCAAGAAAGTCAGGCGAGTGGCCAGAGTATAGAATCTCTTCTTATAGCCAAGCTTCCTGGGGGACCTCTGTTGCTCTGTTAGAAGTCTAACCCGCTGGATCAAGCTCTTCAGTTCATCTTGGTACCACCAAATGGCGACCATCTTAACCAGAGACAGGATGCTCGAGGCCACCGGACATAGAGGGCATCCAGGGCAGTTGCTATGTTTATCGGAATGTAGTGAATCCCGTAGTAGGCCTCTGCATAGCAGCCGTATGTCAGGATGAAGAAATTGAAAAAACTCCAAAGCTTCACTGGCAAAGTTCGCTCCTGCTCCGGATAGAAACCAATCAGCGAAAGGGCAAACTTTGGCACCATAAAATAATGCCGCTCCATCGGATGCAAAGTGGTCAGGAATCGAGGTAACATCTTTCTCTCCAAGGAGACCAAACACTTTTCAGCTCATAATCCTTCGACCCTCAGCCTTTTATACCCTTAGAATCCAGTCTCTATATATACAGCGGGCACACGAGGCACTTGAGCAGCATAATTGATGAGCTGGGCGTTGTCCTGGCCCATAGTTCGATAAGTTTTACAAATTGTTAACCCCCAATTAGGCAACGATTTTGGGAAAGGGGCGTAGGAAACTGGGCGTGCTCGTAATTAAACTTTAGTTTTCGTTAAACGATTTTTAATGACCCTTGCGATGAGTTCTATGTGCGTTTGGCAGGTACGACACATCGGCAGAGGCGTAGCCAACCAAGGGGTTAAGATGATTATCTATCTAATCATCGCAACTACTTAAGATAAAAACCATTCATTTCAAACTAGCCTATTTTCTATTAATCTTAGTATAAACATAGTATACCTATCAAGATCCCCTTCTTTCGAATATCAAACACTGCGTTTCATGTCCGAAAACCTGGTCGGTGGTCAAGCAAATTGACTCTCCATCAAAGGCTATATGGTCACCGCTGGACTGGTCTGCAATTTCAGACTTCAGCAAGTGTTGCCCGGCAACTTGCAGTTTAAATAAATATTTCATAAGCCGTCCAACTCGATGTGAGAGTGTGTGCGATGATTATGCAAACTGCAGCAATTCGGTCTTTGCGAGAAAGGCCAATAAATTAATTTAGCTAGATGGCCGACTGGCTGACTGGCTGACTTGCTGGTTGAATGGCTGAATGAAAATTTGGTTCGGCGGGAAAATAGGTCGGGGAAGGAGACGCAACTAACGATGGCGCTGAATGTTCCGCCTACCTGACGGCTACACAGAGAGAAACTTCCGTTTTCAATAAGGATATCTAACTTTTAAAGCTTCCCAGCATTCAAAGGACTTCCCATTTTTTTAATGAGAAAATTACTCTTTAGTAATAATTCCATAGAGATCCCATTTCAAAGATTTTCTCAGCGTGTAAATTCTTCTACCTGGAGAGCCCCAAGCCAATATCCAAAGCCGAAGCCGGAGCCGGAGCCATAGCCGGAGCCATAGCCGGAGAGCAAGCCGTAAACGTAGCCGGAGACGCCTCTGACGCTTCTGACCTGGCAACAGGACGGACGGAGAAATGGAGCGACGGAGCGATGGACGGACGGAGGAACTGGCTCTTTGCATAATTGATGGCTGCAGGTGTATTTGCGCTCAAATGAGGCATGCTAAACACATGCCTTTGACACTTATACACATGCCCTGGTCGAAAGCACACACACGATATCCTGCCGGGCAGCAAAACCAAAACCAAAACTAAAACCAAAGTCCTCGGTTGGCAAGGACGCAAAGGGAGCCGAACAAAAACATCGCAAAAAATATGTAAACACACGATGCGAATGTAAATATTTCATAAAAAAAAACCGTAGATGACAAACAAAGAGGTGGCACTGAAATTTAAATGGACATTGTGTTAAATAAGTTTAAAGGTTTTACTAGTTTGCCTTTATTCGGCATTACAAATTTACAAACTAATTTTACAAAGAGTTTTCATCACTTTTAACTAATTCAAGAGCTCTCATTTATGTTTTAACACCAGAAGGACAAGCATTGTAAATACTCAAAATTGATATGCACAAATCTGACATCTTGCTATGTCTTTAACTCCACCTCAAAACACTTTGAAATATAAACCCTTTCGAGCCGATTCGATACGATCTCCCACCCGGTGATAGCTTTATTCAGCTTTAAATTTTGTTTAACATCTCCGAACAATATCCCACCTAACACAAAGGCCCATGGGCCAGGACAGGACCCTCGGTCGAAAGGATCGAAAGCGTCCATTCAAATTGAAAAATTTACGTGGAAAACATGCAAATTTATGCCATAAACACAATGAGTTTAATGTGCGAGCGGGAGGAGCCCGATAAAAAGAGAACGAAAACGAGAAAGCACACCTCAACCTGTGTAAACTTATGGCCTGACAGTTTTAACCGCATTCAGGGGACGATTTGTAGGCCACACGACCAGGCCCGAAAAAAAGAGAGAAATATATAAAACAGTCCATTTTTTGTGGCAAACACACTGGCCACCTACTTTTTTTCGTGCCTGCTCTGCTCTGCTCTGACATTTTATTGACAAAATTATTGAACACGTTTTGACCGTGCCACACAAATCTAGCCACGGCGGCTATAGCAACATAATGGCCACTCCTCCATAAAGGCGCCCATTGTCGAACGCCCCAGGTCATGGGGCCGTGGCAGGGGCAGAGAGGCGTGGCTGAGTGGTATAATGGCCGCGGAGAGTTGAGGCGCCGCGCGTCGACCATTGAATTTATATGAATTTATAATTGAAAATTAAACAACTGGCAAAACAAGCTGGTTGCTAGCATGATTTTTGGATGCTCTTAAAAAAAGTTCAATTCAAGCCACCTGATAATGCTGTGCAAGAAGCATAGCCTAGAAGCTAAACTAAATTATAGTGCTTATTAAATAAATTGTATGTATATATTCCCAGAAATCAATATTAAAGAAGTCAAGTTAAACTTACTCTAAAAGATATATTTCAAATCGCTTTTAAGTTTAGTTTATATTAATCCATTAGTATGTTAACTTTCCATAAGGAAAAGTATTTTTGAATTGAAGACTAAACCTTAGTTTATTAATCAATAGAAGGCCTAGAAACTAAAAGCCCCGCCTCACTTCAGATTTAAGCAGCTGGCCATAGTTTTGGCAAAACGAGTGGCTTATTTAACTCACCCCGAAATGAGTTTGGCCCGGAAGAGTGAGCCAAGCACGTTGAGTGCAGGTCGGCCACGTTGCATTTATAATGACAAATGCATTTTTGATAAAACCCGCCGAGCGTCAAAATTCGCATATGTGTGTGTGCTTTAGCGCGTGTGTGAGTGTATTCCGGCTAATTTGTTTGCCCATAGGCAACTGAGTGTGTGTGAGTGGGGGCGTGAGGTTGTGCGAAAGCGATATGTCAATTTGGAACACACACCCACGCGACATACCTATCAAATTTATTATACAACATATCCACGCTCCCGCAGAGAAGCAGAAACCGCCCGACCACTCAGCATTTCAGAGGAGCCACCTACTGGGAGCTGCCGCCTTTTGTTCGCCGATAAACTTAATTTGAATAATAAATTACGTTGATATTTAATCAGCGTTGTCCTACGATAAAATCCAACGGGCCCCCGAGAAAAGGAGGGGCGGACGGGTCGCAGCGACTGTCGTGCAGCTGATAATGGGTAAGCCGAGGGTCCTGGCCACGAATCCTTCGCACGCACTGGCCATAAACTGCATGAAGTCATTATCGTTAAGCGGAATTTGTGTTAATCTGATAACAAAATTATGAACAATTAAGTCATTGCATGCGAATTGAAAATTTAAACTGCCGCAGTTCAACAAAAAGTGTTGTGCGATCTGAAGTGAATTCAAAGCGACATTAATGCCACACTAAGAAAAATCAGAAGTTACCAATAAAAATAGTTTTCAAATATTCCAGACTAGAGTGCATGTTTCAGATTTTACATTTATTGTTGCCCTCTTTTTGGCAGAAGACCCCAGCACTTCGCTTCTCCCAGTGAACTTTTACATGACCAAAATGAAACAGAGACATACACAAATATGAATGAATATTTGTTTAAATGTTCATGGGTGTAATAATCACAGAGCGAGGGGCCATTGCACTCGGGAAAAGCCCAGACATCGCACAATGAGAGACAAATGCAAATTAAGCCCGTAAACAATGCCGCATATTCATACGCCAGTGGCGGCGGCACAAATAAATTGGCCTAAAAATATAAAAAGGCTAAAGCCAGCGCCACAACAACAATAAAAATTGTACATTCCGCTTACATGGCAATTATGTTAAAATATTCAGGCAGAAATGCGAGCAGGTGAGACACCATGACTGCCAGATGACCTTTATGGTAGGAAACATGATCTGGATGTTGATTTTGTTATGACTTTTATGTGAGGGGAGTGGCGCTGAGTTCTGTTCCAATCAATACCATTCATATAGTAAATAATGATTACAACATTTGTATGCAATGAAGTCATAAAATATTCTAGAAATCTGTGTTTATAAACGGTAGAAACAATATTAAGAAGAGACTTTTAAGCCGACATTCTTAATGACCAAAATAACTACATGAAATATGGTATCATCAGGGAAAATAAGTTCTATTACAAAGATGATTTATATAAATACCAATCATGCTTTTAATATACCCGACTGCTGAGGACCAGAAGCCAACAGAAATTGCAGAAAACGGCAAACAAATGCGCAATAGAGTCATTAGAAGTCAAGTGCAGCCCTCAGCTGGAAAGTATGCTACGATATATATGGCTGCCTGCTCTGAATTCGTGCGGCTGTGCGACATATGTTTCGCTTGCAATTTCATTAAATAAATACAAAACAAAATGGCTACACATCCCCTGCATCCTACAGCCAGTCCCTGCAATTATGGCAGGTGCAGGCTTGTGCAGAGGGGGGTCCGGGTGTTATTTTGTGGTTTTCCGCCGGAAATGGCACACTAAACATAGGAGAAAGCGCAAAGTTGTCAGTTTCAGAACAAACAACCAAAACAGGCGAAACAAAAAATGGAAAAACCTAGAGGACCTGAAACCATTATAAACTAATGAGATTTAAATGCAAATTCTAGTTTCTAGCGCTGGTCCCGTGGGCGTGGCCACTGGCTATTTGTGTGTGTAAATGTTGTGGTAAATGACTAAATTTACATAAAAACCATTGTGCCGCAAACGGCGTGAGAAGCGGTTAACCCACCAAAACTCTCACCTGTCATGAAAATAAGGAGTATCAGTTTGACGCAGGAATCAGTTAACACAACTGATTAAAGGCCATATCTATCGCCACCCAACTGTCGGTTCGTTACTCGTTATCCACCTAAATGTTAAACAGCTTCACATGGCCTGTGACGTCACTGCCAGTGCTGCCAGTGCAGCGCCATGTGCAATGACGTCACGTTGAGGTA